CCCCCCCCCCCCCCCCCCCCCCAACATATATTATGGAGTTTCTCCTTGCCCAAATCTTGTACTCAATGGGTCATACCATAATTCATGACAAAGAGAAACTTAAAGATTCTTCCTTTTTCAATGAACTCAGTCATTGTCACAAAATAGTGCTACATGTCATCTTCAAATTGTAATATTGGGCCAATTTGATTCATCACCCATTCAAGGCCCCACAGCAGTCTGTCACCTAGAGGCTTCCTTGCTTTCAATCTCAGAAAGTACCAGTATCCTTTTTCATAGAGTATGATTGAGCAAGGCTGTCCTAAATTTCTCAATTAATGGGGAAGAAATTACAATTTCGACTGATTCCCAGAAACATAGGGTGCCATAGCAAAATCATCATAAGGGAGCCATCAAATTGAAACCCTGATCAGTCAGTTCTAGATGGACCACTTTCTTCTAGATGACTTCAACTTCTTTTGCCCTAAGAAAGTAGCTAGACCAATTGAAGATAATATGACCATTAAGTCAACATGAACCCAAATTAATGCACAAGATAAATTTATCTATTCTAATAATACCAAAGTTGTTGAATACAATTTATCTACAATATATTTAACTAAACTTTAGTACAAGATATACTTAACAATAAAATGAGCGATATTTTTTTTGGTTCATTATATGATTTATGTAATATTTTAAAATTGATAATCAAAAATCAATCTACAATCATGATTTTTATTAATTAAATATTATTTTAATATAGATAAGAATCAAATTTAAGATTATCAAATGAATCTTATTTTAAGCCTTACAACCATTAAAATAAGAGACTTAATTGAGTGATATGATAATATATGAAATATTGCTTGTGTGCAATTATTTCCTCTTTAAAATCACTACTAATTCCTATTTCTTTATAATCTACCATTATTACATACAAATATTCTCGAAAGGCCACTACGAACATGTATGCATTTTTTTTTCCATGTCGATTCACTAGAGCATATGATACAATGCAACTGAAATGTAAAACATCAAATTAATTGACATCTTAGAAGGCAGAAATGGACAATGAATGAGATGCTTTTGGGATCATGTATGCATCCAATAATAAGAAAGGGGGAAGTCGTAATTAAGTGAATGGGTATCTTGACTCCTAAAAACTCAAGTTAACCAATAGGGTGGCAAAAATTAAACACATAACGAGTTCAAGATTAGTTCTATCCTCTCAAGTTATCTTCAATAAATTCATCAGCAAGACTATATAACTTATCAAAATAAGTAAAAAATTTATTTTGATACATTTTTTTTTCGTAAAATTTATTGAAACAAGTTAAAAATAATCTATTAGTATAAGTAAGCTCTCTGAAAGTCTTTTTTAGACACCCTTTAAGGGTTAAAAATCTGGACAATGGTGTAACCATTGTTGGTTTAGCTGCATTAGACTAGCTAAAAGATATTTGTGAAACATTGTAATGCTATTCCGATTTTGCATGAGAGTTCCTTGATTTTGATCCACACCTTCAAATTAATTTGTAAATTCTCACGGCAGTTCCACATAAATGCAAATATATATTACTTCACAGTGCACACGACTCCACCTGGAACACAGTCTCAACTCGTATGTTGAGATATAAATGCAAACTTGAGCCCTAGCCTAATAAAGTTTAAGTTTCTAATAGTGGTAGACACATATATGTATATAAATACATAAATAAATGTCTGCATGAAGTTGTAGATAATTCATAAAACATTTATTCCTGACTATTGCTACTTTTCTAGTTTACATCCACAGTAAAGCAGCTATTCTTCTTGGTTTTCTTTCACTTTTGGCCATATCAATCTCATCTTATTTTCATAATAATCCGGCTATTACGAAGATGCATTTGTACATTGAAAATTTAAAACAAAATTGAGTCATTTAGATAATACAAGTAGCCTAGCTGTGTTGTTTTTTTACCTTTTATAAAATAGGATAAATATATTTTTATTCTTTACAAATAGGGCAATGTTATTATTTAGTTCCTATACAAATTGCTTTTTTTAGTTCCCCCATTTATAAAATGTATTATGTATTATCTTTTATTTTCATTAACGGATATGGTTTCTTGGGAAAGATAAAGATCATACTTGACACATTTTTAAAATAAAGGGTTAAGAAATGGGTTTTTTTTTTTAACTAATTGTAAAGTTTTTTATATTTACAAAAATTAAAACATTTTGGACTCAATAAAATATCTACATGCTAATGGTACAACAACAAAAACTGAATCTTATTCTTAGTATTTGTACTTTATGTTGCATATTTTAACGACATTGATTTTATAATTGTCGAAAACTATAAATGTTCTAATAACTATATATCCTAAGCACTGTTCTGTTTTTTTTTTTTTTCTGTGTATGCACTGTTCTGTTGTTAGTACTTATGTCTACATCAATAGTCATACGTATTTTCATATGCCCCATGAAAGAAAACTCCTCCCAAAAGGGAACAAAACAAGAAGTAATTAAGGAGAATGTTTCCCCAGACTTATTTAATGTCTTTGCCATTCATTATTATTAAGAAAAAGATAAGGACAAAAATCTGAAAGAAGTTTCCAATGTCATGTTTACCACTTAACCAAAGTGTATATCGACGATTAGTAAAACCACCTCACTTTCCTAGCGATGAACTTCAATGAATATTATCTTATTCGTTTATTTGCCACTTCATTTTATAGAAATATTGCTTTTGCATGGAAGTGGAAAAATGACATAAACATTTTTGCATACACTCTGATACAATAATCTTCATGGCTCACACCCTCACTCCTCCCAAAACCCCTAGAAGCACAAAAGAAGTAATCGCAAAGATTTTGGTTAAGTCCCTGATACAAAGTAGGAAGTTGAAATTAACACTTCACTCTTTCCAAATGTCTACACGACAGATAGAGATTTAATTTTAGCAAAAGAGAATAGAAACTTTATTTATTTCTAGTGCAACATGCTTACTGTTTCATAGGATTACCAGTTTAGTAGTAGTAGTAGTTATACAGAACATTTGAAGACACCTCTAACAGCTAGAACCTGTCACCTGTCACCAACACCAACTCATCTAGCTAGACCGATTTCCAACGAAAATTACTTAGTTAAGAACAAAACTCAAGCAAAAATTAGATCAATAAACAGCAAAGATCTTGATCTCATTTCTCAGCAAAAGCCACATTTCAAGGAAGAAAAGTTAAAAATTGAATGGTGACAAAAAAAAAGCTAGTTAACAATTATCATCCAACAAATTAAAGTAACCGTACAGGGACACAAAATATTAGATATTCACCAGATCAATTGCCATATTACTAGATCTGATAAATCTAACAAAAAGATTGAATTAGAACTATACTCTTACTACTCTGGCTTGTAGTAACAGAAGCAATGAACCATATATATATAGTACTTCTTATAAAAGCCACAAGTTCAGATAATAAAATAGTATTGTTGTAAAAAAAAATTGAGCCGAAACTAAACGAGATTCTCTTTAATGGTTGTCGCAAACAAATTAAACAAATCCAAAGAATGGCACAAACAAACAAAAAATATAAAACAAACAAGCAAGTAGATCTCATTGTTGAACAAAGAAAAAGTGATTTGAGCATTTCAGAAATATTAATAAAGAGGGATCAAAACACACACGTACACACACACACACAAAAAGTGAATATATACCTAGAGCTGCTACAGAACTCATAAAGCTTGCCACGGTTGGAGAAGATGATGAGGGCAACCTCAGCATCACAGAGAACAGATAGCTCATAAGCTTTCTTGAGAAGCCCGTTTCTCCTCTTTGCAAACGTGACTTGCCTGTTTATCTTGTTCTCTATCCTCTTCAACTCCACTCTTCCCCTCCCCATCCTTATTATCTTCCAACCTCACTCCTTCTACTTCTAAATTTTTCCTTTTTTTTTCACTCGAATTTTCTGTTTCTGTACAACACTATCCTTTTCTCCACTTTTCTTGTTTTTACTTCTCTTTCCTCTTCCCCTCTCGTGTGCCTGGTGAGCCTTCTTTTCTGGGTCAGTTGCAAGTGCAACCAAATTTGTGAAAAACAAGAGAAAGTTGAACACTTTGAAGTTGAAACTTGGAACCCTAGAGAGAGAGGAAAGTGTTGTTGTGATCTTTTTTGTGTTGTCTTGTGAATGTGTACTCTCTAACTTGCCTTTTTATCCTCAGGATTTTCCATCTCCACCAGAAAAACGGAGTGCAGCTTAGGGTTCCAGTTCTTTCTAGTTTCATGTAACTTTCTCTTTCCCATGATTTTCCATGTTAACGTATTTTTGGAAATCAAACACCTCACCCAGATGCAATACTCGCGCGTGTCTCGCACTCACCACTGGTTACCCCTCTTGGAACATACATAGTGCTCAACTCTCGCGCGTGGTGACAGCTGTCTTATGTGTTGATATTACTTTTAAAAAAATATTATTATTTTCATGCAATAACTTTATGATATTTTTCGTACATTTATGTTCTTCTCATCTTGTTTATTACATTATTTATCATATGACTTTTTTTTTTTTTTTCTCTTTCATATATCTCCGTTACTTATAATTTATTGGTGGCAATGAAAATCTGTCTCATTTTCCACTGTCTACAGAGAGGTAGAGCAAGGGCATCGATCAGAACGTCGTCACATACCTTAAAATGGATTCTACACGTGTCACTTTATCACTGGCTTCAATTCTCTGTAGTATCATGCACAATAAGTAAATTGTGTGTATATGTTGGAAAAGTAACAATTATTTTTATTTTTTATCGACAGTGAGTAGTAAATAAATCGAACTCTAGAAGTACTTGGTGTGAGAAAAATATATAATGCATTTACGGTGTTGGTTTAAATTTGAAAGTGACTAGTAAGAAAATTTTCCTGTACGTTATTAATTGTGGTGGCGAATGGCCATGGGTAGATATCTACGAAGATTACTATAGTATCCTCCATATATATCCGCGTCTAAAAAAAAAATCCTAATCCGGTTAATTAATTATGATAATTTAATGATAAAAAAAAACACATTTAAAGATACAAAATTAGATTAATTAAAATATTATTGAATATTTTATAAAATACTGTAAACAATTATAAAATATAAAATATTTCATACATTACGATAAATTTTGACAATAAAAAAATTATAAACATCTAAATCTAATGCAACAGTGATATACACTTTTAATGCGATAGTTTGTAAAGCTTTTGTTGATTATGTTGATTCGGTCTCAACTTAATAGCTCGCACTCACAATTTGTTAACTTTTGTAAATAATTACTCATACTAATTAAATATTCAATAACGACAACATTAGAACTTAAAATTTCTAAGCGCGTGTTTAGTTCCACGTCTGTCAAACTTAATTCACGTAAAAAAAACGTGAATATAAGAAGCAAGAATTTTTTATTTTTATGTCAAATCTGTTTAACGTGGATCTTAAACGTGAATCCAGACATACTGCAAATATTATCTAAAATTTTCATTATTTAAGTTCACTGATCATTTTTTTAGATATGCATAGACTCTATTTATTATTATCACCTACTTCTTATCCATGTTAGAATGTGGAACTAATTTCAGTTGGAGAATTTTAACAATAGATATTAAGTAAATCACACAAGTGAGTTTGACATCACAACATAATCTAAAATCTTAAGATATTAGGTAAATAAATCATTTTCACTTATATATTATGTCCCTAACCAAGGTGAAACTTCACTTCACATTTGAACTTTAACAATTTCTTACTACAAGATATTATTTTAAAAAATGTTTATAAAAAGATTATTTGGAAAATAGCTTTTATTATTGGAAAAGAATTTAGAAAATTCATTCATATATTTATTTTTCATTTGAAGTGTTTAAAAATATGTTCATTCAACATAAATTTGTTAAAAATTATTTATATATGTATGTAATGAATTTGAGTCTTCATAATCTTGAGAATGAAAAATAATCTTCTCATATAATTATGTATATTTTCACATGCTGTTTTGAGTATTAATTTGATATTTTAATTAATTATTATTTTAAAAATATTTCCATATATTTCTTTAGTTGGTACCCAAATATCTTTTTCTTTTTTTGACAGAGTACCCAAATACAATTTTTTTTTACCCTAACAAAATCATATTCTTTTCATTCAAATAATATTTTTACTACAATGAAGAATTTCATTATAAATATTTTTTGCATCAAATGAAATATAGAATTCCTAGCTAAAGAATGAGTTACCAAATTATTTTATCTTCTATTGTATTGAATAATAATAGAAGGAGAAGATTTTATAATTTGTCTAATTTGATTAAAAATTATGTCGCAATCAAGAATATCTTCCTCATTACTATAAATATGATTCACTATCATTTTGTGATCTAATTCAATAATCACATTATAAAATTGATAACTCTAAAGTCAATTAAGAATATGCAATATATTGTTTCTCCCTTCTTTATTGACATATTAGCTTTGATAGAGGCAATTTTTGCTTGCAAAAAATTACCTCTTTTATTCTTTAAACAAGCTTCAATTTATATGATGTCTTCCTTAATAAAAAAATGCATCACAACTGCACTTCAATTTGTTTATATAATAGAGAAGAATTCACACATTTAAAGGAAGTTTCGTAACCTAGATGAGATATGCTTGATGCCCATCAACATTCAATATTTTATTAGCATTTGACCAAAATACATTTTATCACTAATGAACATAATGCAATATTTTCAAATTATCATTAAAATAGTCTTCTAGCAATTAAAATAATTTTAAATATTTTTATAATCAAAATTTGTAAATACCTACATGTTTATATTATTATGCATTTTAAACTATTATTTTGTTAAATAAGCTAACACTTAAATACTTTTAAGTTTATAATTACCACAAAATAGTTGTTATGTGATGATATACACTCTATAGTAGTGATACAATATATTTATTAGTGAAAATTACTTTTACTTACATTATAAATATAATATATGTTGATATATTATTAAAAGTATAATTATAAATTATACCGACACTAAATGTTATTGAATCTCATTTAAAATTAATACTAAAATTAAGTATAAATATATATTAAATAAATTTATATGTATGTATTTATATCTATAATGATATTTTTTATATGTCATTATATATTACATTAATTTTATAAATTTTACCTATGTTTAAAAATACTTATACAAATTTAAAATACTTTCAAGTTAAAAGAGAAATGTTATTGTGCTTATGTTAAACTTGCTAAATTTTCTTTCATTTGGTTATTAATTGCATATGATATAGCTGTGCAATAGCAGTATAGCACGGCAAAGCTGTAAGCTTTTGAACAAATCTGGGAAATCTATTTTCTTACTAATTTTTTAGTCACCTTTCCTTAATTTTGTTGGACTTGCATTTCCAATACGTATATGTCATGCTAAATGTAATCATTCCTCCTTTACTATCATACACGGAAATTGACTAGGTACAAAACCACTTTTATATGTTGAATCAAGAAATGCCATGGTGGGGGAAGCATATTAATTAGTGCAATGCCACATTTTTATGGAATAATGTTTTTCTTTGGGCTAATTATCAATTTTTAGCTAGACAAAAGAGCATTATTGGTTAGGTATAATCCGTTCGTTGATTTTGACATCTACTGATAGGAAAATGCCAACTAACACCCTGCCCTTCTCCACTATTATAAGTAATCGAAAAATTAGAGCCCATAGAATTTAACTATACAATTTTACTTCATTGTATATGATGAAATGTCCAATAAAAATCCTATTGTAAACGAAATTAGTGAAAATCTTTCCTGAACATATTGAGCCAAATATTTGAAGGCAGAATGAATACCAAGATCAATTTGGATAGTATAAATTGTCCTAGCTTCATTTCCATAAATAATGAATTCATGACACCAACCTTACATATATTCCATATTTTTCCTTGGTTATTTTGGGTGCTGAAAATCTAGCATATTGTTATTACTTGTTGGTGTCGTCATTACACCAAAACCACAGCCTACAAAGAAACTCCATAAATTAATTAAGTTTGATCGGAACTAAAATGATTGGTTAGTTATTAGTTGCAAAACTGGGTCAACGGAGAAATTTAGAGTACTCTTCCTTTGGGGTAACTCCAATGATTTTTATGTGAGAATTCGTAGTTTCATCACAGCTTCCTATATTCTAATTTCTAAACAAGGAAGACAAACGTGGCCTTTTTTTAATCCTATTAAAATTCACCACTCAAACTGTATGTTGATAATGATACTGCATTTTTTTTCCTTGGCTGAAGAAAGAGCCAAATTTTGCTTCTTTCTTCTTTGATAATGATTTGAAAGGCACGTACCGGGCACCAGCTGCTGTTGCATGTATTACTGAAAATACTATGTTTTATTGTATTTTTAGTTTCAACATTGCTAATATACCATGTTTTATTTGTTGTATCAAAAAGAAAATGTTGACCGTTGTAATCTTTAGTTCCTTCTTTAGCATTTTGGGCTTTTGTAAGTATCTTTATACATTTTCAATTAATAATTTATTTGCAATTAATTCACAATAAAAAAATAAAAATAAAATGCGTGTACCATTATGAGACCAACAATAAAAAAGGAGGGAAGGAAAAACTCGTACCATCACATGCCATATTTCACATTGATAAATAATATGATGAAAATAAAGTATATAAATGAAGTGATGAATAAGGTAAAAATTATATTCATTTATATACTTAATTTTATATTATTATCCAATTAAAATTTATAATTTGTTATATATTTATTGACCTTTATGATAATCATTTTAAAAGTTATATCAAAAGTATTTGGTAAACATATGATTTAATCTTGTAATGTTTGTCATTGCTTCTAAATTTAGTTTGTGTTCCCGTATAGAGTACTGCTACAAGAAAACACTAAATGTTATCCCGGTGATCATTAAGTGATTGTAAACTAACTTCTCTAAGTTGGGATCCCCAATTTTATACTTGCTGTGTTGTGTAGGGTTCTTGGGGTAAACCCTATTTCCCATCACAATCTTATTAATTACATTAAGTGCAGATCACTATCAACTCTATTATGCATTCTTAATTCAATTCTTAAATATATAAATTAAGATTACAGTCTATGTCTAGTAGAGATTAAACTAAAAATGTGCAATATATAGACTAAATTAAAAATGTGTTTAGATTAAATCAGTAATGTTATGTATTTATAGAGG